TGGCCCTTTTGTAGATTTTTTTTTTTTTTTTTTTTTTCCCTTTTTCTCATCTCAGTTTTCCTTCCCTTTGAACAGATTCTTTCCCTTTCACACTATCTGTTGAACCTTTCAGATTTTATTTACTCTTCTAAATTTTTTAGAGTATGGACACAGTGGACATGAAAACAGATTTATACAGTAGTTTTAACCTTTATTTCTCTAATCTTCAAAGTTTAGCTTCATTTTCCAGAGTTGAGAGGATTTTGTCACTGCAGTCCAAAGTACTGGTGATGTGAAGGCTAGTTTCATATGCTTAGAAGTTAAAGTTCACTAAATAAATGAGTTAGCTATGTTTAGAGGCACATACTTGTGATACCAGCACTCGGGAGGCTGAAGCAGGAGGATCATAAGGAGTCTGAGGCCAGCCTAAACATGTAGCAGGACCCTATCTCAAAAAACCAAAAGCAAAGAAATGAGTATTTTAATCTCATTTATTTATTTATTTATTTATTTGGTATAGGGTATTGCTACGCAGCTAGGACTCGTAGTGATCCTCCTAGGTCATCCTCCCTAGCGCTGGGATTACAACTGTGTGCCACCATGGCCAATCAAAATGGCCAATCAAAATGGCCAATCCATGGCATACCTGAGATTCCAGGATTGGCATGGCATGTGGTACCAGAGATTGATCTCTGTTCCTTGGGCTTGCCAGGCAGGCGCTTAGTCTGCTGAACTATTTCCCTGGCCCCTTATCTTGGATTTTTAATAGGAATAAATTTGTCCTTTGTTGCTGTGCATACAATAAGGTCTTAAAACAGCTTGAGTGGCAGCATAGTGTAATTGTTAAAGCGTCAACTCAAAAGTCTGCTTTGAAATTCCCTTTCCACCATTTTATTTTCTAGCTCTGTATTCCACCCTGGAAAAATTACTCAAATATCCCTGTGCTTTTGTTTCTTTATCTATAAAATGTGGATAAGAAAGCCTCTTACCTCTGCAGTCCATCATGAAGTAAAAGTAGTTCAGTAATGAAGGGGACTTGCAAAACAGTATCTTCTTGAAGTACTTGGCAGAGTATGGAAGATAAAGTTAAAAAATACTATGGTCTACAGACCATGGTCAGGCTTGTTCTTATCTCTAGCTGTATTTTCTGTTTACTTTACTTTGTTCTTTTTATTCTTCACAATTTTAATGTCATATTTTTCTTTAAAATTAACTTACTTTAAATGCTTGATCCATTTTTGGTGTAACATTGATTTAGTTGCATATACTATTTTTGCATTTTTCTTTTGTGATTGTTTTTTACCTTTAAGTTACTTTGGCTTGTGAGTTTTAAGTCTCATATTTTCTGTAGGGATCTGTTGGTCTCACTGCAAATGCTTCTACCGGGGGAAACATGGCAGCAGGAATGAGAAAGATAGACAAGAAGACAAAAGCTGGGCTAGATGGTCGGTAGTCTGCCTCATGGGCAAGACTCATGCGCCAGCACAATGAAACCTACATTTGTTTATACCTCTTGCAAAGTTAGTAAGACGTGACACGAGATTGTCTAGTGAGTAGTAGTCAGCATTAACCAGTCAGGATGCTTATCTCAGGACTGAGTAGCTTGTTTGCTTTAGGCACTGAGGTCTAGTCCCACCTACACACCTTTGACTGAATTTTCCAGCTTCCATAGCTCCCTACAGTTTTCCAGGTATCAGCCACATACCTGTTAGGAGGAAAGGCTTAGTCTACTCCACTCTGTTTCTGTTGTAATTCTGAAGAAATGCCAACAATTGAAACACAAGGTAGAAGGTTCCTGATTCCCAGGGATCATGGTTGATGTGTTGCTTGCATTTCTTTTAAACATCCTCTTTAGTTTCTTAAGTATTAATATAATGAGCAATTAGCTATTGCCTTCTTTTACATGAATCATATATGCAAGAAGGCTTATTGGAAAGTTTACACTTTTTAAAATATATAAGTGATATTGGTCACTCATTTAAAACTTACTTTTTATTTTGTCCCCCTTTAAATTTATTTTAATTGATAAAATTCACAAAAATCATATGATGTATTAATACCTGTGTACATTATGTAATCATGTTAAAGTCTCTTCAAATATTCATCACTTTGTATTGAAATTATTCAAAATCCTTCTAGCTCTTTGACACATACAGTACACAAACTGTATACACCCTGCTGTGTAATATAGCACACTATAACCTCTTACTTAACTCTTTACTAACTGCATCTTGGAACCACTGAACAAGCTTTCCCCATCGTAACTTCTTCCCTCATCTCCCCAGCTTCACCATTCTCCTCTCCATTTTTATAAAATCAATTTTTTAACATTTCATCTATGAATAACATCAAGCAGTAGGTGTTTTCATGTGCCTTATTTCACTTATCCTAATAATCTCCAGTTCCTTGTTGTTAGTCTTTTTATGGTTAAATAATCCATGCATTTTACATTTTTCTTTATTCATCATTGCTGGGTATTTGGTTGTATCCATTTCTTGGCTGTTAAAAGTAGTACTGTAGCAAACATGGGAGGGCAGATGTCTCTTGGACATACTAATTTCATATCCTTTCGATACAATGCTAGTGGATCACATGGTAGTTAAATTTTTAAGTTTTTGAGGAACTTTCATACTGTTTTCTTTCTTCCTTTCCTTTTTTTTTTTTTTTTGCAGAACTGGGGATTGAACTCATGCCCTTGCCAGGGAAGCGCTCATTCTACTGAGCCATCTCCCTGGCCCCTTCATACTGTTTTCTTTTTAGCTATTCTAATTTATATTCTAGGTCAAAAGTAGGCAAAATTTCTTTTTCTCCACAAACTCAGCAGCAGCATTTTTGTGTGTGTAATAGCAGTTACTCTGACTGAAGTGAGACTCTCTCATTGTGGTTTTGATTTGTATTCCTCATTCCTGAAGTTGAGAGTTTAGACAAGTTATGTCTTTTTTTACCCATTTTTAAATCAGATTATTTGATTATTAGTTATTTAGTTTTGGAGTTACTTATATATTCGGTATGTTAATCTCCGTATACATGTGTAATTTGCAAATTTTTTCTTTTTTTTATTTTTTGCCATAATTTTATTCATAAACAAATAGCAATGAGACAGTTTCAAATCAAATCGGTAGGACAGTTTCAATAATTAACACACTGCATACATTCTTCTTAGTGGTTAATTGCTGTACAAGATACGGACTTGAGATCCTATTTACAAAAACCATTAGAACAAATCATTCTATTCATTAAGAGAATGCAACTATATATCTATCCTAACCACTTTGAATACACAGATACAAAATGGACATTCATCTGTATACCCTTTTTTTGTTCAGTTCCGTTATTTGAATATTATAGGTGTGTAAACTCAGCAAAATATTCTAAAAGAGTCCAGTAGCCCATAATAGTATTGGGTCTTCCGCTTCACTGGCAGTGTCAGAAATTGTTTACCTGAGTCCCCTACAGCTCAACATAACAGCATGGCTTTACTTCTCATATTTCGTTTTTATACTTTTCTACTGGTTGGTTAAGACCAAGGTAAAGCAGGACCTATGCAACAAGAGTTGTAGCTTTTGGGTCTGATAAGGTCAGTGAAATCCCCTCAGGATTTATCCTGAGATTTTGTACTTCAGATTGTAGAACCTTTGTCAGTGTCAGCCATGTG